TAAGTAGGTGGCTCACATGGCCTATCATGAAGAATAAAAAGAAAGTGTCTAATTCAATAATTACCTTTTGAGTGTCAAGCATTGGGCAAGGTTATATATATACTCCCAAACAAGAAAAAATAATACTATGGCAAATCTTTATGAAAATTCCTACACTAACACACAGTAATTGTTCATTAAAAATGAATTATCTTTGAAATTATCCTTATGTGCTGAAATTCAAAGTAAGAACTGTTAAAGACCAACTGCCTGAGACCTATGCAACTAAGCTATTACTACATTGTGTCAAGTGAAAAAATACTGAGTACTTGTTTGAAATCTACATTGGACTATTGGGAAATGGGAAGAAAGTGTTCAAATGGGAAGTGGAACAAGTAAGGGAGGGAGGGAGAAAGGAAGGGACAAGAAAAAAAGTGAAAATAGAAGGAAAAAAATGGAAACAAAGCTTCTGCACATAGGGAGGGGAGGGGGTCGAGGGGGAGAATGGGATAAAATAAGATTTAAAAAAAGAGAACTCTACATTGAACTAAGGTGTCATGAAAATACATAAAAGATATGATTTTTTTTAAAGCCAGGCATGGTGGCACATAATCCCAGCACTCTGGGAGGCTGAGGCAGGAGGATTAAATTCAAACCCAGCCTGGGCAACTTAGACCCTGTATCAAAATAAAAAATAAAAAAGGGCTGGGGGCATAGCTCAGTAAGAAGACTCCGGATCTTATAGCTCTATTTCTTTTTTTTTTTGGTACAGGGGATTGAACTTGGGACCTTGTGCTTGTGAGGCAGGCAAAGGAACCACTGAGCTAAATCCCCGGTCCTTACAGCCCTATTTCAGAAATGGGCAAAGATTACCAAGAAAGCTCATTATAAACGCAGATTCCTAAAAGCTGAGTGCAGAGGCATACACTGTAGTCCAGCTATTTCGGGGACTCCGGCAGGAGAACCACTTGAGCCCAAGAGTTCAAGGGTAGCCTGGACAACACAGCCAGATCCATCTCAAACCAAAGCAAAAATCAAACAAAAAGCAGATTCTCCAGTCCCAATTCTAGAATTTGAACTTTTAAGATCTGTAGTAAGACCCAGAAATCTACACATTTAACAAACATCCAATATGACTCTATGAGAATAGTCAGAGACAACACTTTGGTTCAATTTTTTTTTTTTTTTTGGTACCAGGGATCAAATTTAGGATCTTGCACTTTCGAGGTAGGGGCCGGAACCACTGAGCTAAATCCCTAGTGACAGCACTTTGAAGAATCCTGCAATGCTTCAATTTAACTAAGATCTTCAATTTATAATCAAGATAAGCCAGCTGCAGGTGGTGGCACACAGCACTCAGGAGGGTGAGGCGGGAGGATTGCTTCGAGATCAAGGCCAGCCTGGGCTACATAGTGAATTCCAGGCCAGCCTGAATTACAAAGTGAGACCTTGACACAACTGATCAATGGGTTACTCACTCAATAAATAAATAACAACATAAGCCAAACACATACAGTTAAATGCTTTACTCAAGTTTAGAGTTTCCCATTCTTGCCAGGCAGACCATCTTCCTCCAAATCTGGGCATTCACTGTTTCCCTAATCTCTCCCAATCTACCCACTACTCAAAAGCCAACTTTTGATCGGGGATTTAGCTCAGTGGTTCCACCGCCTGCCACGCAAGCACAAGGACCCGAGTTCGATACTGGGTACCAAAAAAACCCACTAAAAACAAAGGCCAACTTCTGTGATTAGGCACATTTTGTGTTCTCCAGGGGCCACACGGGTTATACTGCTGATTTTCTGAATAAGTATAATAGTCCCTCAGTATCTAGGGAGTTGGTTCCAGGACTCCTAAGGATACCAAAACCTACAGATGCCCAAGTCCCTTATGTAAAAGGGTGCCATATTTGCATATCACCTACACACATCCTCATTCTTTAAATCATTTCTAGATTACTTAAAATACTTAATACAATATAAATGTTATGTAAGTAGTTGTTATACTGCATTGTTCAGGGCACAATGGCAAGAAAAAAGTCCATACATGGCATAGATGCAATTTTTTTGAAGACTATTTTTGATCCCCAGTTGAACCCATGGATGCAAAATTCACGGACAGGGTGGCCAACTGTATGTCCTTTTCTACCACTGGAATAAAGGACTCTCAGAAGAGAAACTGAGCTTTCCTTTTTGTATACCTTTTAGAATGGGACTGTATAAATACCATGGTATTCCTTTTTATTGCCTTTAATTTGTAAGCAGGATCTTGCTTTTCTCTAAGTAAATATGTACAAGGCATAGTACAAGGCATAGAACAAGTACTAAATAAACAACCCCTTATACTTAGTCCAATAAAGTTTTTCAAACTGTATCATGCCTCACATGGTTTCAAACGTGAAACCAATTTAGTGGGTCACAATATTAAAGAAAGATAAATAAAAGAGTTTTCTGTGTTGTAAAATATCTTGCTTACTGGAGTCGTAGTCAAAAAATTTGAAGGACACAATTTTGTAAATGTTGTTTCAGCTAACCTCCAGTACATCCATTTTCAACATTTGGTAAGCAAAGATATACTTTCTCAATCAACTAAGATTCAACCACAGTTTCCCTTTTCTACTCCTCAAAATTAATTACTAGGGTTTTGTTTTTTGGTACTGGGGATTGAACTCCAGTCCTTGCGCTTGCGCAGCAGGCAATGAAACCACTGAGCTAAATCCCCGGCCCCAATACTAGGGTTTTTATTCATTTGGGGTAAGTCCTAAGTTTAATGTGCATTTTTCACAGTATGTGTTCCCCAGAATCTGTTCGTTCTTCAGATGAGTCATTTGAGTGTTATCATGCACTTCAGATGGGCTCTTGTTGGAGCACCTGTCTCTCGCCTCAAGTCCATCTGAAATTCTAGAAGTGCCAAAGAGGGTTTTGAAATTTTCACATTCTGTCACATACACACAAGGCTCTAGAATTAAAGTATGTGGTCTTTTTCAAGATCACTTCTTCCTTTACGCTGGAACAAACGTCTCTATTTCCACCATAACATTACTTTCTTGATGCTCTATATAATTTTTAATTGTATGTTTCAATTTTCTCTTTTAACTTAACATTGACAAAATGATGCCCTTTTTTAGGTTTCAGGTGTGCATCTTCCTAATTAGCAAGTGAAATGTGTGAATGTTTATACAGGCCTAACAATACACTGTGACCTGTCACATCTCTAACACTGTTACCAACAAAATTCTCCACTTCACGAAGTAACTTTCCTAAATCTAGCCAATGGAATTAGTTTTCCACCCTCCAAACCTTCTCAACACTCTGTTCAAACCTCTATTAGCATCTATTAGTCTGTAAAATAATTATTTATGAGTCTGGATCCCATACTAGTCCCTACAATTAACTCAACTACTGTGTGCATACCTCGCACTGCTCACAAACACACTGGAGTGCACTTCACCTAGCAAGGCCTCAGGACTAGCTTACTGAATTGTACTGAAAATAAAATAAAAATTTAAAAAGGTGAAGAGTTTAGTGAATATAAACAGGATAGGTAGGAGATGTTTCTAATTCTATACACCCTCCATAGTCTCAATTTACTCAACCATAAAGTATTTAGAAAATACTTTAATTTAGAAAAATAAAAGTATGGAAACTGGATAAAGATGTGGGTTTTTTTTATAAAATGGAGTACTACTCAGAAATAAAGAACGAGAAACTAGAGACATTTATAGCTAAATGGATGCATATTGAGGCCATAATCTTAAGTGAAAAATAGGACACACATGTGTAAATACCGAATAGCTTCTCTGGTGTCAGAAACTGAAAGTGTTAATAAGGATGAAAATGATGAAAATGATTAAATTGAATAACTGATAATTTGAAATAGGAAAAGGTCCAAAGGTGTAGGGATGGCAGGAGGGGAAGGGGAAAGGGAAGAAGGGAAAGGAAAAATTATGAGAAAGAAAGAAAAAAAAAGCAAACAAAGTCTATGTAAATAGGGAAGGGTGGAGGGGGTGAAGGGCGCACAGGTAATGGGGGAAAAATATGAACTAAGATACATCATGTTCAGGTACAAACACCCAATGATAAATGTAAATTTATTGCATACCTAAAATGTACCAATAAATATATAAATAAAAATAAATAAATAAAAGTATGAAAGATAATACGAGAACCACGGGAAAACAACAATAAAGAATTTAGAAGCATCCCTGGTAACAACAAAAAAGAATTTAGAAGCAGAACACTAACGCCTGATAGAAGGGATGTGTTGCCCTCCGTGTTTCCACACATGGGGCTGCAAACACTCTTCCAACCTTCACCGTTCTGCCGTATCACCCAGTTGTACTCTATTTCAGGTCCTCACCACGTGTGGTGTGTACAACAGACCAGTTCACTGAACTTGCCATAGCGCTTTCTTACAGGGCCACACACACCCCTCAAAGAGTTTTCGGTGACCGACTCCCTCTTGACCCGCTCCAGTTCCGGCCTCCGCTGGCCACATTCACCAGTCCAAGAGTGTGCAATGCAACCATTTCTCTTTAACAGTCCCAACTAAAATGGAAGCAGATCTAGAAAGGGCAACTTTAACCCTCTTTAGGTCACCGTGTGTTTCCTCCACTGGCTACCACTGCACTATGAGTTGGGATAGACATCAGCCTTCCAGGAGACGCCACAACTTCCCAACGCCACCTAAGGTCCCATTCCCCTCCGCGCTCAGCCGGCCCTGAGGGCCTGTTGGAAGGGTGCGCTATTCCGGCGCCCGAGGCTGCTAAGAAGGCTTGACCTCTGAGTACTTCTCTATATACCTACCCCAGACCCTTCAACTTCCTTCCTCCAAAATGGGTTTCCCTGCCCGTCCTCACGCTTCCCGGGTTTCCCCTGCTCCCCAGACGGTGCGCTCTCCTCCCACCTGCCCTGGTGCTCGGGGAGCCCAGCGCCTCAGGTCGCGCCGACCACATCTGCACGCTCGCGGCCGGGGGCCGGCCTCCCCCGGCCCACGGTCCCCATCCACCAGTCCAGACTCACCTTGGGCTTCTCGGGTAGCTTCTTCCGGTTCTTCTTCTTAGGCTCCTCACCCCGCAGGCTCCGCAGCAAGGCCGAGTCGTCCGGGGTCGGGCCTGGCGCGGCCACCGCCTCCTCCCGCCGGCGGGGCGGACTTCTGCGCTTCTTGCGGGCGCCGGCGCACGCCACGGCCCAGCCGTAACCCAGCAGTACCAGGAGCAGCAGCCCGAGCGCGCCGGCGCCCACCAGGATCACCCAGCCCGGGTACCGCCGCGGCTCCAGCCCCAGGTCGAGGCCCAGCTCCGTGCGCAGGAAGCCCAAGGCGACCGAGAGCATCTCCCGAAGGCGTGCCGAGCCCTCCTCGGCCTGCTGGGCCAGCTCCTCCTGCCAGCTCCGCGCAGCCATCTTCCCTCCCGTCAGGAGGACTCACGGGATGACGCCGGGGCGCGGGGATGCCGCGGAAGAGCTGAGCGCAGCGCCGAGGTCTGGGCCGCCTCAGGCCGAGCGCATCGCGGCCACTGCTCGCGCCCGGGCCGGGGCTCGGCCGCTGTCGCTGCCGCCGCGGGGAGGATGGGGGTGCTCCCGGGTGCCCCCGTGTCAGCCTCACGCAGCCCCCGCCTTCAGAAGGGGGAGACGGGAGAGAGTGTCTCCAGCGGCGGCCGCTAAGCGGCGTCTCGGCGCCGGCGCCCGGCCCCACTATCCTCCCTCGGCGGAACAAT